AAATCCAGCTTGTACTTCTGGGAGTTCTTGGTCCACATACTGCTGAAGCCTATCTTGGAGGATTTTGAGCATAACCTTGCTAGCGTGTGAAATGAGTGCAATTGTATGGTAGTTGGAGCATTCTTTTGCACTTCCCTTCTTTGGGATTGGGATGTAGACTGATCTTTTCCAGTCCTCTGGCCACTACTGAGTTTTCCATTGATGATGATTAAAAAAAAGCACACTGGTCATGTGATACTGGGCCATGGCACCAGGGTGGGTGACATGACCTTTAGCCTGGTTTGTTCCTTTTTGCACACCACACATAGAATGATTAAAGTGGTATGGGAAAGCCCCCCCCCCTGTCAATTCTGTTTTGGCTGTTTCTAGCAAGCACATCATTGCTAGCACCACTCACTGATGATGATTAAATCCTCTGCGAGCTAGCAAAAATTTAATGCAACTTGCTAGGCATGTTGGACACCTTACTACTCCCTATACCACACCTTGGCTGGAGTGTAATGTGTTCAAGCAAAAATAGTGCACATCTTTATCAAATTTGGTGCATCCTGCTAGTTCGGTACACAGCCTGTGTAGATTCAATAATATTTTTAATTCAAATAATGTATGGTTTCCTTCCTTTTGAATCAAGGGGGTAATGTCGGCGTATATAAATTTTTTGGAGAGTAAAAGGTAAAAGTTTCCTGACTCCTGGTCTAGGTTGTCTAGGTCTTATTTCCTGTCACAGTGCTTCTTGGATGTTGCTCCAGTTCTTCCTGGAGGTGATAGCCTGCTTTTGATGCTCTATAGAGAACACCTCGTGAACTAACGCCATCCCCTAGACTGTGTTAGTAGTATAATGTGCCATCACATAGCACATAATCTAACACACTCTTTGGGTTGGTGTTAGTTTAAGTGGAACTCTCAGTAAAACATACAGTAAAAGGCAAGAGACTACCACTTCAAGGAAGCATTGCAGTCAAGTTGATTCCAAATTCTGGCAACCTCAGCTGGGTTTCCAAAGGACCGTGCTCATTCCCATTTCCAAGCTATAGAGCCAGTGTTTGCCCATAGACAGTTTCCGTGGTCACATGGCCGACATGACTAGACATGGAACGCTGTTACCTTGCCACCATGGTGGTACCTATTTATCTACTCACATTTACATGCTTTTGAACTGCTAGGCTGGCAGGAGCTGGGACAAGCGACAGGAGCTCACTCCTTCATGTGGATTTGAGCTTTCAACTACTGGTCTTGCAACCTTGCAGCACAGAGGCTTCTGCGGTTTAACATGCAGTGCCACCACATCCCCTTTCTATACAAATACTATAACTCAATTAATAATAAATAATTTATTTCCCTATATACAGTGCTCTAGCAGGCTATAATGGCACTATATTTGCCTATGGACAGACAGGAAGTGGCAAAACATTCACTATCACTGGAGGAGCTGAACGTTACAGTGACCGGGGCATTATTCCACGGACATTATCTTACATCTTTGAGCAGTTGCAAAAGGTACAGGCCATTTGATCTTTTTTTTAAATTTTGAAAACAGTTCATTAACTAGTATAGTTGAGTATGCATAGATGGTTTGAATTAAATGTCCCAAAGAAAGGATATCTGCAAAAATGAGCTGGACCTATGAAGGCTTATGTCATAATAAATGCGTCAGTCTTCAAGGTGGCACACACTGCCTGAAACCCATGGATGTAGCTGGTAATGTCACCAACTACAGCCAAGCCATGGCCATTTTGGGACAATTAAAAACTTGTTAATTCAACACGCACACACACACGCACACACACATACACACATAGTTCTAAGAATCTCTAAGGATTTAAAGTCTGAAAATCACCACCACCAATCATAGGATTGGCAGTGGTGGCAATTTTCAGTCTTTAAACTCTTCTCTACACCATTCTGAGGCTCCCAAACATTTCCCCAGAATGAAGGGTATTCTTAGGGATTCCTAGAAACCGAGGTGGGGGGAGCTAGAAAGTTTTAATCTCCAGTAGTATGATCAGGGCTGTTGCAAGATGTACGTTGTATAACAAGATTTCAGCCATTAAGTTCATTTGTGCCTTGGTACAATGTACTAAGCATAAGTATCTTCATGTACTTTCACTCATATTTGCATTTGTTCATGAAGGGCTGCAAGCATTAATGTGTTTATAGGTAAAATGCTTATCCAACTATACATTGGATTTTATCATCTCAATTCTAAGATATACTGCATCAATTTTGTGCAAGTCTGTAGCATTGAAATGGTTAGTACTGCGTACATTCTGACAAAAAAAGGAACGGAAGCCTCTTGCACTCAAAATAAACATGTCAGTGAATAATGCTGATTGCAGTTTTGGGTTCTTCATAAATCTGGAACATTTTGGAAGGAAAGACTGTTACTTGGTGCAAGAGGGTCAGAGGTGTAGTGCTGTGTGCTTAGGTGACCTGACCATCTGTATTGAGCAAGGCAGGTATAGATAATAAGAGCTATTTAACTGTGAAAGCGGCTGATTCCGGAGGCTACAATCTCTCCTGTGTTCTGAGATGTTTAAATAAAGTTTGAATGGCCATTTGTCAAAGGTGCTTTAGAAGTGAAAGCCTTTCAGTGGTAGGGGATTGGATGTGATGACTCTTGGTTTGCTTCCAACAGTTCTCTAGTTTTAAGGATATGATAAGATCGTAAAGCAAAACTACAACTGGAAACATAGCCAGCAGACAAAACCAGAATTTAAAGTCAGAAAAAGTAGAGTTGCCATAAGCTTAAGAGTTGTTAAATTGTGGCACATCTGACAGATACAGAAATAAGACATCAAAGAATAGAGGAAATGAGTAAATGGGATATCAAGAGTTGAAAGGTAATTATGTAACAGCAGAACAAAACTGGTATGACCAAGACAGAAAACTAAAAAGGCAAATTTTCTAGCATGCTCAGGATAATATTATAAAGGGAGCCACTTGATAGACAGGTTCTGATAAAAGTAAATCTGGTCTATATGGTTGATGATAACTTAACTATTCTCACAGTGCATCTGAGTAACTTAGTGACCTCAATAGGGCTTTCAAGGTAATAAGTGGTTCTACCAGTTCCACTATCCAGTGAGTTTCCATGGCCAAGTGGGGATTCAGTCCCTGGTCTTGACAGTTGTAGTCCATCACTTTCTCCACTATACAACACTGGTCATGGACATATTGTGGCCATGACCATTTTGATTGCTTCATTACAAGGCATACATCCTGAGATGCAGTTGGGGTTTTGAGTAATGGCTCCTATTAGCAAAAGTTTGTACTTATATCTTTTGATTTTGAATGCACTCTTTTTGTTTTCATCCAATTCAGGATAGCAGCAAAGTATACACAACACATATCTCCTATTTAGAAATTTACAATGAATGTGGTTATGATCTTCTGGATGCACGACATGAAGCCTCCAGATTAGAAGATTTGCCGTGAGTAACATTTTGTTAAAGTACAAATATTGTTACTGCTTCAGAATCCCATCCTTCTTTAGATATTTTATTCCAATCTCTTCCAAACTGTTTATCTTCAAATTTATAGGATTACAGCTCCCAGAAACCCTCAGAGGCCACAACATCTTTGAGCAAGAGACTGGGAGAAAGTGCTTTGACTACAATACTTGTTTTACCTAATACAGTTGTGCCCCACAAGACGATGTTAATTCGTTCGGCGAAAATCACTGTCTTGTGAAAACATCGTCTTGCGAAATGCGATTCCCCATTGGAATGCATTGAAATCCGTTTAATGCATTCCTATGGGGAAAAATCATCGTCGTTTTGCAAAGATTGCCCATAGAGAAACCGTTTTGCGAAGCACGGATCACCTGTAAAAATCGTTGTCTTGCGAAAAATGGTCCCAAAAACACCCGTTTTGCGAGTCACGGAGTCAGCTGTCAAAATCGTTATCTTGTGAAAATTGGTCCCCCCCCCAAATTTTGCGAGTCACAGAGTCAGCTGTCAAAATCGTTATCTTGCGAAAATTGGTCCCCCCCCCCAAAAAAAAAACCTGTCTTACGAAGCACGGTCTGAAACATTGTCCATCGAACATCACCCATAGGAAACACCATTTTGCGAAGCGCTATAGCGAACGCAAAAACTTATCGTCTAGCAAATTAACTGTTTTGTGAGGTAATCGTCTAGCGGGGCACCACTGTAGATTTATTAATGTGTTGTATTTCCTATACTTTCTGCACAGTAAGGGTAGAATTTTGTTAGTATTTACATAAGGTTAGCGCAACTTGCTATAGCTAATTGAGAAATGTGCTGGGGCACATCACAGTTTTGCAGTTGAGATCAGTAGCGGATGTGGTAGCCCGGTTAGTTCCCGAGGCTTCTAAATTCAATCTTCATGGCTTCTGTGAATCACACTCTGGGTGGTCCACGCATGCTCAGAGCCTCATCAGAATATTTTAGAGCTTCTGCAGTCAGAAAAGATACATTAATACAAGCCCCTCCCCCTTAGTATATGTACCTTGGCACCAAGGCTCTCCTTTCAGTTTCTCTTCAACCGCTGCATTGAGAACCTCGCTTCTAGCTTCTGTAACTTTTTCTCTGGAAAAAAAAGATAAAAGAAAAGAAAACCCTTTATTTTAATCTTATTTCTTTATCAAACTATTTCCTTTGGGCTTGGGGCCAAAGCTCCTCCCCATCTTCTCTTCAATTCATGGCCTCTTCAGGCCTTTTAAAACCATGCACGGCCTGTAATAATAAGATCTTTTTTTCCAATGGCCATGCTAAGTGTCTTTTTTGTCTTAGAGAGGTTCATCAAACCTATTCCTGCCCCCACTATAAGAACTTCAGGTCTGGGGTGCTACACAGTCACCTTTCCAGGCTTAAACTTCAACTTTGGGAACAATCCCTCCAGCCAGACAAACCAGTGGCACAACCAGCGTGCAGGTCTGTGCCTCACGCCAGAGCCATGGACAAGGCCATTTCCAAAGTGGTAACTTTTCCAGTGTCAGCGGCATCTGAGGATCTTGTAGAGCACAATGGAACCTTTGGCGTTGAAGTGATCACACCTCCAGTGCCACCTGGACTTAACTGATGCCTCATATCCATCGGTGCCAAAAAAGCCTAGGCAATTTGACAAATATTCCTCGGCCCCAGCCACTTTCTTGGTGCCTATAAGCTGCCGTATTATTTTCCTCTGCAGTTGGATGACCTCAGCTGTTCATCCTGCTCGGCATCACCAGAGTCCATCTACTCTACAGTAATCCAATGCGGTCTGTCGGAGCTCTTACCAACTTGCTAGCCCCTTCAATATCAACACCAGGCTCCAGAAGCTCCATATGGAGCCTGATTCCATGTCAGCCTCATTGACAGTCCTCGATATTGGCCTTTACCATGAGAGTCGCCAACTATCAAGGGGCGATGAGCACCTACCAACACTTCTTATGGGACGGGATGGGAGGAGCCACGAGCAGCGAGAACAGGGGAATCCTAGTGCTCTGGATTCTCCTGGGTCTACTCCGAGACAGACGACCCCCCCGGAGAAGGAGGGGGCAAGTTCCACAGGAGCGTGGACTTGTCAGCAAGTGGGAGCTTCGGAACCGCCGAATTTCAGATGGCAGTCTGATTTTTGGAAGAGGTTCCCTTCCTGCACGCAGTTCGTCTCGTGAAGTCGCCATGATTGGTGAGTTAGCTGCTCGGCAAAGGGGAGGAAAATTCTACTTGACTACAGAATAGAAATTAATCTAATCTGCTGACAAGCTACAGCAAGTAAAGATCAAATCTGCTATGTGAAAGCCGTTTGAAAAGGAGACCTCAGAGCGGCATAACATTGTTAATGCCTTAATACTGGAGGTTTTTTTTTACTACGCCACAGCACAAAAACGAAACCAACTTATCCCCTTTCCTCTCAACCCTCCCTCCTAGAGAACTGGCCTTCCATAAATCTGTAAAGTCAGGACTTAAGAACTTTAAATAACTTTGCAATGACTCTGTTTCTGGCTACAATGTTTATGAAGTCCCCCCTTACAAGACCTTAAGATCGGACTTGCCAATAAATCATGTGGAGATTCTGAGTAATTAATCTGTTGACTGGTACGACCATGGAAGGTGGGGGTGAGCTATCGTCGCAACTGGCAATGCATGATATCAAGGAACTTCTACAAGAATTTCAAAACTATATAATTGGACATTTGGGAAAACAAATTGAGGAGTGCAGACTGGACCTGAAAGGAATCTTCTCGGCTATGCACGAAAAAATCGAAAGCAAGGGGGAATTCCAGATAATTAATGAACAGTCTTTAATTGTGGAGAAACAGCAACTGGCACGATGCGAAGACAACTCAGAGTCAGAGAGAAAGAAGAAAAAGACTCATTTTTCTCAAGGGATGACCAAAAAAGACAAACGGGGAGGGGGCAGGAAA